GAAAGTTGTTCTTGTTTCTATAAAGGTGCCCAGACCTGAGGAGGTGTGGTTCTGTCTTCAGCTGTGTGTCTAGGAGCTTTCATGTTGACAAGTTAAAACCTCCTCCTAGCTATCTCATTTTGATTTCTTTTCTAACTGCATGGTTCAGTTTAGGGGAAATAGATTCCAGAGGGAAGCACCATTTACCAGGGGAAGCCTTTTTTTCTTGGGAGCAAATTACCTGCCAAAAACATGGCTTTGAGTAGTGCACTCAGGTGATCTTTCTGTTTCTGTCAGATGTTAAGCACTTTACACTGGCCTATATTTACATGGAAGATTAGAAATCCGTGTATCACAGAAATGTTTCACTTGAAAAGTGCACATCTTAGGTTATTCCATGCCTTTTTCTCCATCTTAATCCTGAGAAATTTCAGATGATGTCCCCGTGCAGTTTTCTCACTGCAGGCATTGCTAACAGGTGAAGTGACAGCCTGTTTCATAGTGCCCTGTGTTGTGTGAATTGGTAGGAGGAGAGCTGAGGCACTGGGTTTAGTACACCTTGTTCAAAATTTGGAACAAGTGTCTCAACACTTGGCAGGAGGGAATATTTTTTTGTAACTCCACTGTATCAAAATAAGAGCTTGTGTGCAGATATCAGCAGAGGCTGAGAGTGCAGTGGGTAAGCAGTGGCTGGGATTACCTTTGGGGTGATAACCACAGAGGATGTAGATGGTCAGAGGTAGACATTTTTTTAATAAAGAAAACAGTTTAGAAGAGGAATTAGCATTTCTGTGTATATGAATGTCCAAAGTTAACTACAAAGTATTGATTTTCACCTGAATGAAAGTGGTGCCAGTCAGAATGTGTGAAGGAATGTTCTTCCTGCACCATTTGTAAGATGTACACTCTGCTCTTAGTCCTTGTGTGGTTGAAAAATGACACACTCCTTGAGCTGTGAAAGCTGTTGTGGGGGGAAGCCACATCTGTAAAGTCATGGGTTGAAACTGTGCTCATTTACAGCACAAGCCACTCTGATCATCAAAATGATTTTATCAGCCTCACTTCAGAAAACAAATGGTGTTTGATTTAGCTGGGCAAAGTGATATTTCAGAACTGGCTTCAGCAATCTTTCTGTAGCTTGACAGTTGGTCTGCAACAGATGAAACAGAGTAAACAGTCTATCATAGTTGAAATTGGAAGCAGGCACCTTGAAGCATATCTTGAATGTGCTTCTGTTCCATATGGAATTATGAGAGAAGATTTTTTTTGTAACATTTCTGTGGCCTCCCTGTTAAAATACTCAGTCTCGGGCACTGGAAAATAAAGAGCTTGGATACAATGATAGTTACAAAATTCCCCTTGGGAATTTTTGCTGCAGCTGATGCCCTGGTACATTTTTAAAGAGTCTCTTTTCCTTTGAAACTCAGCCACTTTTTTGACTGTCCATTAATATTTTCTGTGCACCCAAATAACAGGCTATGGAAATCATCTTTCTGTCCTGTTCAACTGGATTTTAATCAGGCTCAGGACACTTTTTCTGAGGAACTGAATGTCCCAGCTGTAAGGCAGATCTTTTGTTCCACACAGAATGACAGAACAAGTAAATGGGGAAAATGGGAGGATTGTTGAATGCATTCAGGTTTCTAACAGGTCATTGTCACTCCCATGCACTATTGCTTTGCACTGCCTTACTCTTGAGATAGCAATAGATTTAGTCTTTGAATTTACAGAGTTCCATCCTTTCTTGACAGATGTTCAGCCTACAGACTTGGCCTTCAATTAGCTCTTCAGTCAGAAGTGCTTTGCATGTTTCTTCTTCCATTTTCACTCTGCTGTGGAAGCATCTGTCCACAGGCTGATGACCCTGAACTTGATTCCTGGGTGCATCTGGCGCTACTTCATCTGGTCACATAGTAAGATTTTCCTGTGAATCAGCATTCACAGCTCAGTGTGTTGGTTTCCCTCTTGGACCCCATAGAGGGGTGATTGTGTGCTGTGGGTGAAGGTGGAAGGCCACAAGTTCTAGCCCTCGGTTTTTCCAGCTGAAGGTGCTTTTGACACTGGCTGAGGAAAAAGAGCACTCCTTAATTACCTGGAAGCTTCAGTTTTCTCAGTAATTTTAGGGGAGTTCACGTGCTGCTGCTCTCCTCAGTTGTTCAGTAAGCCCTTGGATGTTTTGGCCTGGGCAGTTCCTTTCCTTTGGGAGTGATGAAGTGGAGCTGTTTGGAAGCAGACAGGGAAGGCTAAAGCAGCACTCTGCAGCCTGTTGCACACTGGACAAACAGATCAGCATTCAAAGAGACTCTTCTATGGTTTGGGCAAAGCTGCCCCTCAGCTTTGAAGCTGTCAGTGGGGCAGTGGGATCCACCCAGCCTGTGTAGCTCTGCTTTCCCTAAGGCTGCACTGCCTGTCAGCAAGTGAGTTTGGGCCTCCAGGGATAAGTCTGCATGGCTGAACTTAGAGAGGGTTTCTTGGTGACTCAGTGCCAAAGCTGGTGTTGCTGTGCTGCTCCTGGTGGCAGTCAGCTCAGGCAAAACACAACTCTGCAGTGTGTTGGTACAAAGTCACGAGTGGGGACAGGCATTCAGGGAATCGCTTGAGGAAACAGAAGGTGAAGGGCAGCAGTTCCTTAAGTGTGCTGTTTCAACATCTCAGCTGATGGAGACTGGCCTTCTCTGCAGAATTCAATAGAATGAAGCCTTTCTGTGCCAGCTGCAGATCTGCTCTGTTCTTGATTTCCAGCTTGAAACTTGAAAAAATATGGTTCCTAGCAAGTAGCACTCTCCCTCCTTATTGCCAGTGGTGACACAGGCTTTTTGTTCCTTGCCAGAGACCTGGAAGAGATTGTAGTGGGATTCATACAATTCAGCTGGACATGGGATTCTTTTTCTGGACTTGCTGTTGATGGAAAGCTTTTGCTTTTGTCCTCACATCTTTGCATTTACATTAACTTCTGCTAATGAGACTTAAAAGGAATAAGAACTGACCTCAAATTAAGACTGGCTATTCCTGTGGAGCCATCCAAATTGTTATTATATTGATCAGTTAAGCCCCATGAAATCTTCATGTCAGTCAATGATGTGAACTGACAAGTCAAGTTATTACAGTGAAAGCCCTGCTGTGCTAACTTAATTTATGTTGTAGGACCTCAAAACAGATTTTTATCTGTGTGGTTCTTTGGGTGGGTTTTTTTATTGTTTGTTTTTCTTTTTAAGAGTGAAAATGTTCTTTTTGAAAAATAGGGTTTTCTGTGAGGATAAATCACATCAGTTGCCCACTGGAACTAGAAATAATGCTGCTTTTATTTTAAATTCAATAATACAGGCATCTGGAGCTATAAAAACTTTTTGCACGTTGTGAGGCCCTGGGAAGATAAAGACAACTTGCATTTGTATTGTATTGTTACCTTACCTGACTTGAAGTATTTGGATTAGGGGCATCTTCTATGATGCAAGAGATAAATTGGAGAGGAAAACCACGTATGGAAGAGACACAGAGTAAACCTTGTGGGTTCTGATGGTTACAGCCCTGGGTAAGAAGAGGGAAAGCGCCTTGTGTGGTGCTGCAGTCAGGTCTGCATTCCTCAGTTGGAGCAGCGGGGCTGGGAGCCACGGGAATGACGCTGGAATGCTGTGCCTGGGCAGCCCTGGGTGTGTGACACACTCGTGTCCCCACAGAGAAACGTCAGGGGAGGTAAAGCTGAGGACAGCCTCGAAGTGGAGAAAATGAAACGGGTTTTTGCTTCTTCACTGTGTACTCATCTAAGCCCTCAAGTGAGACAGCTTAAGTTAAAGAACTGCTGCCTTGCAGAAAAGGAGCAAAAACCAGTTTGGGCGGGTTTGCTTTGCATGCAGCTTGTCCTGGTTACTGCATAATGCCTTCCTGCTGTGTGTTCTGTTTCCTCGGAACAAAGAGGTGACTTTTAAGTGGTGCCTGTAAATGTATTTAAGGGGAACAAGTGTTAAAAATAGTGATAGGAAAAAAAAATCTCAACTGGTAGTGGATTCTGGGCACTGGACTTGCTGTGTTTGGGTAAGAACAAAGGCTCCACCTGTGCCACAAGCTCTCCTCGCTGTCTGTACACGTGGACCGAGCAGCAACAATTTGTGCCTCTGGCTGGGTGTTTGTGGCACACTGACAGGTGGAGGTGATTACAAAGTTATTCCAAAGACTAAATGGGCATTAATTATATGATTAATAATGTGGCCATCAGTAGTTGGGACTGACTTTCTTCACTCCTCATAGTGTTTTGGTTTCACTCCTTTCACACTTAGGTGGGTTTTCTCAAGTGAGAGATCTGCAACTCCATATTTAAGCACTTAGACTTTGTTGTTTTGCAGATGGTCCTTTCCCAAATGCAAATATCTAAAATTTGTCAAAGAGCAAGATTTTTAGGTTAAAGTATGAGTCAGTGGTGCCCATTTACAAGAACCCTGGATATTAAATCCTAGTTTGTCACTTAACTAAAGGGGTATTTTTTTTCTTTTTCAAGGACATTGTCTTACAGTGCAATCAGCATCCTTACAGTCCTTTCCACATGCATTTGCTTAGGTGAAGTGTCCAGCCCTTCCCCAACAGATGCCATTAAGCTGCAGTGCAGCAGGAAGGACATTGCTGTCCCAGCTGCTGACCCACACTGATGAGCAGCAGTGCTGCTCGAGCATCCTCTGCAAACATCATTAGAGTGAAGGGGATGCTTTTCTATTGCAGCCTTCCTAGTATAAGCAGCTTATTTTCCTGTGTGGTTTTTTTCTACTGTAATTATACTCCTTAATTATATAATTATTCGTTCTCATGAACTACACGCTGCCCTTTCACTGTTGAATTTGCCTGCTGAGTTCTAAGTTTTAGGCAGATTGTGCACTTATATAGACACTTATATAACGTGTCACTCTATCAGTGTGCTTGCAAAGCTGTCCAGTCTATCAAAGGAACTTGTAGAGTTCTTCTCAGGTTCTTTTTTTTATGCGATTTTTTTTTTTTGCATTTTGACTTTCAGGACTCAAGCAAACAAAATGGGATCAGCTGTTGTCTGCCTGCAGCTGGTGAGTTGTTCAGAACAATATATGTATATTATATCTATCACTGGAGTTTCCAAAACTCCAGTAACAGTGGTCTTGTTCCACTTGGGCTACAGTTCTGGTAAGGAACATTCCAAGGTGGCTGATTACTCCCACTCTCATCCCCCACCTTAGGCAGGCGACAGGAGACCCTGGTACAGTCAGGGCTGCTCCCACCTTAGCAGTGCAGGAGTTCCCAGTCCAGCCGTGGGATGCTTCACCTCCCAACTCATTACACAGGTGCCAAGGCCTGACAGGAATTCTTGAGGTCACAGAGCAGCCCAGAGGGGCTGTGGGGGGAAGGATCATACCTTCTTCTCTTTAACCAAGTGAGAGTTCCTGCAGAGATATCTTTGTGTGGGGGCAACTTTTAAGGCAACTCTATCAGACAGTGAGCAGCACATGTAATCAAAACTATCACAATTTATAGTGAGTCATGGGCACTAAACTTAGAGCGTTTGTTTTACTGCTTCTGACTGACACTGAGCTAAACTTGAAAGACAGAGTAGGCAATTCCAGTTCTTATCATGGGGGGGGGAGGGCTGTGCTTTTCTTAGGTACCTGAACATGCCCCTTTTTCTTGAAAAATGTGGCTTTTGTGCCATCTTAGTTTATTTTTCTTCATTCCCCAGTCATTACCAGAGGTTCAGTGAACAGTACACATCACAGGCTGAGACACAAACACTTGATGTTACTGCTTTTGAGTTACTTGCCACACTTCTCCTTTCGGAAATGTTAACTGTTCCTTATGCTGTCCATAGCCTCGCTCTTCCCAAGGCACTGAGGAAGAGATTTTTGGGCAGCATCTACCTAACTGAATACCTCACTGGCCCTGGGTTTTGCTCCCATCTTTTCGTGTCCTGGGTGCTGGACTAACATGTCTGGCTGTTCAGGACATCACCAGGGTAAGAGTTAAATCAGACTCCTGTAGACCTCTTCCACAAATCTCTCCAGGGATTTGTTGCCTAAGAGGGCATTTGCTCACCAAAAATAATTTGAAGGAATCCTAGAAGGCTAGCCCATTTTGATTTACTTCAGCTGATGATTAAAAACATGCTATTTCCAAAATATCTTCTGCTTCTACTTGCAGCTCTCGTGCCAGCTGCATCCAGGCACTTCTGTGCTAGAGTGGGTAATATCTCTGGTCATGCCAGTCATCTCTTATACCTGCCTCATTGAGCCCTGCCAAAATTGAACTAGTCTGGCCACTGGGGATCAGAGTCCTGTGACAGTAAAGGTGCTGGGCTTTATTCTGCGTTTGAATACTTGCTGTGAACAGGACCCGTAGTGGCTGCAGGTCTCAGTCAAGGAGGGGGCACCTTCTGCCTCTCAGTTCTTTGCACATGGCAGCTGACATGAAAATATGCATTTCTTTAGTAGTTGGGCTAGAATGCCTAGTGCTTTCTAAGCTACCCCAGACTTGGTAGCCTCAAGCACCACTTTCAAGCCACAGAATTATCAGGACAAGTGGCTCAGTGGGAATCACTGTTCTTCCTGTGGTCTGTTGCTCTCCTGCAGACAGAGGATGTTTGACAAAGGTTCTGTTGTTCACATGTCCTGTTTCCATGAGTATTCCCATTTGAAACAAATGGTAGTTGGTTACAAGGGAGAGTTAAGTAAACTCAAAACATATATTCCTACTCCTTCATTGCCTGTTTTAACTGAAGTTTGTCCCAAGCATTCTGAAAAATGCCTATAAAGTCTTCTCAAGATGGTGCCTTCCCAGTGATAATAGTGGGTTGGTTTGGGTTTCTCTGGACACATTTTCTTGATTAAAAATCACATTCCTACATAAACCCTGGAGTGGGACAGTGCAACAAACCCCCTGTCAGCTGATAGGACCCATTTATGCTGGGCCTTTCAGAGAGCACATGTGTTGATAGAAAGTAGAATATCACCTTCTAGTTCACTTGTCATCACTGTATCCTACCTGTTTTCACTCTGGAAAAAATCTTCCTCTGACTGTTATGAGGGTGACTGCTGGAGAGTGTTCTGTGGCTCTCCTGCTGTGACAACTCCCTTCACCAGCCCT